GGGGCACTGGGGGGCACTCTCAGTGGGCACGGCTGTCAGCAAGGCATGGCCACAGCCACAGAACAGCTCTCCACAGAGCCCTCCAGCACCAGGCAGAGCCTGCACTTACCTTCCGGGCCACAGCTTCATGGCACGTTCCTGGGGTGCAGGCTGGGAGCCTATGCTGTAGGCCAGCAGATGGGTTAGTTGGGTGGGGGGTGCAGGGTGTCAGGCAAGATGTATATGCTCCATTCTGGGGACTTAGTCTGAGGAGACTGCTTCAAACCTTGGACAGCAGCAAGAGGGACACCGGTCAGAAATTAGGCCCTTGGACCCCGTCCAATGGCTCACCATGAGACCTCCGGGACAAGGCCTTGGGACCGCTTCTCTGTCTGCTGGAGTCAGAAGTGGTTGTGGCTTCACAGCGCCTCACTCTCTTCCTCTACAGTCCTCCTGCCACTGCTCGAGTACTGCGGCGTGCGGCCCGATGCCGCCGTTGCCAATCACCCCTTCTTTGGACCCAACGCCCAGATCAGGTAGAGGACAGAAGGCCACCCTGGCCAGGCGTGGGTGTGCACCTGCTTTCCCTGGGCACTTGTACTTGGGGGCCCACCACCCTTCAGGACTTGTCTGGAAGTGGGTGCCCTGCCTCGTGATGCAGTTGGGGTGTCAGGTGTGAGCGTCAGGCACTGCACTGCTCCCTGGGGACGGCCACCCCACAGACTGAAGCTCAAGGCCATCAGGAGGCAAAAGGATCCGAGCTGGATACAGCGTGGCCTCCGCAAGCGTCCACCTCCGTCGTATCCGGCTGGCGGGTGGGCCAGAAAGCACCGCTCTCTGGGCTTTGGGTGCCCAGCGCCTCGCACAGCCTGGGCTTTAAAGCTGCTTGACTATGTTCCATATTGGCACGTACTATTTTTCTTTAATATAAAAAATAAAGGAGAAACTTACTAAGGAAATAGCATTTATCTTCCCTCTCTTGATACTTACTAAGGAAATAGCATTTATCTTCCCTCTCTTGATAACTAGGAACAAAGTTCCTTTATCATAAAAGAAACCCACAAAGATACCATTTATTCCCAAAACACTTTCCAGACTTGCAGTGTCTGCTTTTGAAATTAAAATCCCATAAAATTCACCGCACGTCCAATGGATGGGGTGACAACCTAAGTGCCGCTCTTTGAAACACGCATGCGCCGCTCTGCACACGTCACGTGGCTTTGCCCAACCTGCGCAAGTGCGGCAGCAAGCACCACCCACATTTGACCCCTACGTCAATGACGCTGCCACGGGCCCGCCCCTCGGGTAACCCAGTAGCCACCGCGCTGGCCACGCCACACCTTCCGCTCCGCCTTTCGCCCGCCCACCTGAGGCCTCTCGCCAACCCGGCCGCGCTGTGGCACCTGTCTAGTTCAGCCTCCCAGCCCCGCCCTGTGCGTGCCCAGGCCCCGTCACCCCTCAACTGGCTCGGCGCACCTGCACCCCGCCTCCCCCCGTGGCTGTCCGTCCACGTCACTCCCAGCCCGGCTCCATCGCGCTCATCCCCCCAGCCCCGACTGACTCCTCGTCGCCCCCGACTGGCTCCCCATAGCTGACCTGTGGCCTAAGCAGTCACCCCCATCTGCTTCCCTGTTGCTCCATATCGGCTCCCCAGCGGTCGGTTACCTGCAGAGCCGGCAATCAGTGGGGTGCGATTGTTTCCGGAACGAGGCTACTTCCGGGGCGGGACCTTGGGGTGCTGGGGTGGCTCTGGGACAATAGGCGGGGCCTCTGCGGGGCAGGCGGGGCAGGGCTCTGGGCGGCCAGTGGGACGGGCACTGACCCCTGGGTACCACCCGCTCATGGCTCCAATTTCCCGCAGCCAATCGCCGGCGATGTCCCAGCTGGTAACCCTGTATCTTGGGAGGTCGCACTCCCTTTGGAAAGACTCCACCATCATGGCCTGGCTGGAAAAGAACGTCCGCGAGGTGGTGCGGGCAGTGAATGCCAGGGACCCCATCGTGCGCACCTACGAGAGCAGGTGCGTGGGCTTGGGAGGGCGTGACCTGAGGGTGACAGACCTGCCCAGGCCTCCAAGGGCGCACCCCTCTCTTGGAAGGTGCACTCTCCCTCTGACTGGCAGGGGTGCGGTGGGGATTCTGAGAGCCCCTTCTCCTCAACCACACCGTTGGGGATATTACCCACCTTGGGCTTTGAGAAGCTTCTGTTCAGGGGTGAGTAGAAATGCAGGGCCTCTGTCTCCCTACCTTTCCCCGGCAACTGCCACCTCTTGTCCAGGAGATGGCTGACGCAGGCCATATCCTTTCCAGAGCAGTGGCCATTGCTAGGGCGTGCCCCTGCCTCAGAAGGCAGTACTGGCCAGGCAAGATGTTCATCCTCACCAGCCTGGGGGCCTGACCCATCCCACTGTGTCAACAGGGAGGCTGAGTCACAGATCCCAAAGCGGAGCTTCCCCACAGTCTCTGCTTACCTGGTGGGGGGCAGTTCTGCCCCTCGCTGGTCCAGAAACCATGTTCAGCTGGAGCCCCTTTCCAGGCTGGGCATCCCTGGTGGCCTTCCATGTGCTGACCTTGTCTTCCCCTGCCACAGGCGCAGGGTGCTCTACCAGCGTGCTCCCCGGAACATCCACCGCCATGTCATCCTCTCCGAGATCAAGGAGGCCATCGCCACGCTGCCCCCGGTAAACGGGGCCAGGAGCAGCCCCTCCCTCCTCACTGCAGCCAGAGTGCAGAGGGCAGCCTTGAGGGAGTAAAGCCGTCCACAACGAGGTCCTCACAGGCTCAGTGCAGACCTGGCCTCCTGGACCTGCCCAGTGTTGCTAGCCACCCTGTGTGGCCTTCAAGTGCCACTTGGTCAAATCCCCTCACTGGTGATCAAACAAATCACGTGGCGGCAGGGAGCCAGCAGGCCTTCCCTTGCAGCCCAGCGGCCCGTCCTGTGCTCGTCTCTTGTCCGTGTAGCTATGATAGCATCAGCTGCTGTCACTTGAGAATAAAGCGAAACTTGTGCTGCTGTGCAGGGATTTGTGGGCAGTGGCGGGAAGAGGAGCTCTTCCATGATGGGGCTTAGAGTGTTCTCTGCTAGCTCACTGC